AGTGGCTCGTCCCTGGGGAGATTCTCTTCTCCACACGGCCGGATCCAGGCCCCTGGGGATGCAGAGAGACGACAGGTTAGAGGGGCCTGTGTTACCGTGGGCCCAGCACCAGAGAGGAGCAAGGGGCACAGAAGGGGGGGTCACCTCACCTAGGGCACCTCCCTCTGGCAGTTCTACTAGGCCTCAGCCAGGATCAGCCCCAGGACGAGCAGAACCGTGGCACCCAGTGCCAGGTGAGCAATGTTGGCATTGGTGAAATCCAGGCGCCCCGGGGGGGCTTCTGCGGGGGAAATGGAAGAGTCACTCGGTGGCTCAGATGGGGAGATCGGCAGCTGGCGCTGCCCCAGGAGTGGAGCCCCCCAACCCTCCTGTCTGGCATGTCTGGCCCAACAGCAGCTCTAGGGCGTCCCCTATGTGACGAAGTGGAATGGGTGGGTACCTTAGTTTCCCCTATGTATTTCTTAAGTCTCTAGAGGGTGAGATTGTTGCAGAGCAAAGGGCCAGTGTGCATAAATGGCTGACACTCTGTCTCCTGGCAACTAATGGCCGGGGCCTTTCCCCTCTGCAAGGGGATAGCTAAAGGGGTTGGTGAACAAAGAGATCAGGTGACCTCCTGGCCCAGGAAAGGAACAAAGCTGGAGGGGGTTTTCAGTTTGGGGCTGGCTGGGGAATCATAGAGAACCCCGAGGTTGGGAGCCAAGTTCCCTACTACCCAGAAGGACCTGACGAAGGGGGTCCTGTTTATGCCGACGAGCTCTGGTGTGGACTGTGTTCCTGTCATCTAATAAACCTTCTGTTCTACTGTCTGGCTGAGAGTCACGGGGAATTGCAAGAAGCCGGCGGTGCAGGGCCTTGTCTTCCCCAAACTCCATGACACCCTATTGCCAGGGGGACGTCATGGGGCCTAGGGAAGGCAGCAACCCTGGGGCCCTGTGCTGCCCAGGCGGGTGGGAGCTGGCGCCACTCCAGGCTGGGTCAGGTCAGTTCCCCCTGTGGGAATAGAACCAGTGTCCATCGGGATGGTGGGAGAGGCTGAAATAGTGACTTAACGATCACTCCACCCCCATCCTGCAACTTAGCATCAATCCTCACTGTCATTCCCAGGGGTGGGGGGATTTAGTGACTCGGGAGTGGGTACCCCCTTCCCTCACTGGGCGGGGGGCCACTTCC